CTCTCCCGGGATTTTGGCTGAATTCGAAATCTATGCACCTGAACGAGTTCTACGATCGAGAAGTTTCATGCATCTTGGACGTCGTGCAGCTAATTACGGATTACTTGATCCAATACGGTTCATGTCTGCCCGTTTCAATGAATTCTATGTTTTTTTTCGATTTCAACTGCACAGTGGAAACATTTCGTCAACGGATTCGACGTAGTCTGCTGGATAGGTGACGATACGGTTCGACACATGCAACTGCTTTCAATCAGCAAATTGTTGCATGACGGTGAGTAGCTGTCCATTAATGTACATCTGATGAATTTTTCTACCTGTTTCCTTTTTTGTTCCCGATCAACTCTGCGATGACGGCCTCGACTGATCCAAGGACAACTCCATTCCATAGGTCGGGGTTATTTTTTTTATGATGAAGACCATAGTATTATTATTATTATTCGGTGTTTTTCTGTATTTTGAAAAGATATGGGGTTTTACGCCTATTTGCGCAAATATTTGCCAAATTTCGGCGTGAAGGAATTCAAGAAAAATTAAATGACATTGATTTTCCACCAGAAAAGCATAAAACTCAACTCACTCATCTGATCATATCTCAAAAACTTTTTGTCCAAATCATTTGCCCTTGGAAACACATCAAGTAGAATAGGTTTTCCAACGTGTGGTGAAAATTCGAGCTCAAAATATTAAGAAATAAAAAATCCAGCCCATGGTGAAAATAGGAAATTTTTTGACAATTTGGATACCTGCCAGTAATCAGCCTGTTTACTGTAGTTACTATAACAAAAACAAATTGTGGGTACACCGATAAGAATCTACATTAAAAAAAAACTTCAAATTGAGATCAGAAGGATGTGGGCACTTAAGAGCAAAATAAAAAAGGCGTATGTTCAGAATGCCAAAATAAGCGTTTTGGCCAAGTTTGGCTCAAATCGCTGATATCGACCACAGGTGGTGTACCCACTTGAGCTGGAATGACCCATATTCAATTATCAATTTATCCTTCTTTGCCATTTATCCACATTTTTATCTCTCTTGATTGGCTATGGAAGATTTTAAAGTTTCTCTAATGTCGTTACAAATTTTAAAAAATGTGTCTTCAACTTCTAATAAACAAAACATGAATTCCTTTTTTTTTTGGCTCAATTTTTTTAGTTTTTATGTTTACCCTCATATGTCATATTTTCTTTCTTTCTAGTTGTTCAAATGCTGTTAAAACTGATATCGATTAAAGACTGTACTTGAGAAAAATGATACACATTGATTAGTTTGTAACTTTTAAGCGTATGGGTAAAAGTGATGATATTTTGACTGAAACTAGCTTAAAGTGTGATGTTAACGCTGGCAGAATTTCATGAGAATATGTCAAGTGGTTATCGAGATGGTATCGTAGCAAGAGCAGATCCGCCAAAAACTTGTGCGTGGAGGTGAAGTCATTCAAGGAGACCCAGACGACCCAGCAGCGGGCAGGTTGCGGCAGAAATTCGAAGACAGCTTACCCGGTGAAGGCCAGGAAGGTGTTCAGTCTGTTCAAGCGTCAGCCGAATCTTTCGATCAATGAAACGTGCTGGTAGCCACGTCTGCTAGGTCCGGAAGGCACCGAACCGGAACGACAGACAAAATACGGTGGCCAAAACACGTACCGGGAGTGGCTGACGAAACCGAGGTGCGTCGTGATGGACGACGAGACAAACATCAAGGTGGACCCAAAGCAGTTGCCAGAGCAGGTGTTTTACGTTGCCACATCACGGTTGGCCGTTCCTGAGGAGGTAAGGAAGAAGAAGGTGGACACATTTGCTAAAAAGATGTTGGTTTTGGCAGGTCATCTGTGGTTGCGGCAAGATGAGCCAGCCGTACACCACGACGGGTACCATCAACGGGCGAATCTACCTGGATGAGTGCCTCCAGAAGAAGCGCCTCCTGCACTAATAAAAATTCAATGATTATATTTATGTGTCCCACACATGAATTTTGATAAATGTGATGTGATAAACAAATGATAAAGTCTGGAACGCGCAAAAATTGGTCAACTTCAAATTGGTGTATTTCTATTAAAAATGCATTAAAAAAAACCTGAAATACTGCATTTGGAAGTTGAGTGTATATACAATGGTTGCTACGATGAGTTTTCACCGTTTGCTCTCCAGTTTTCAAAATGACGTCCAAGCAAGAGGAGCAGCGTGTCAAAATTTTGCTCGCGCAGCAAGAGAATCCGACGTTTTCACACGAAACTTATGTAAATGCGGATTTCAAGGAGCTTCCGGAACAGGAGTTTTATACCGCATCAGGAAAAGGGAAGGTGGCTGAAATTTTCAAAACCATCAAACTATCGAAGTTCCCGAAAAAATATCTCGTCTGGCAGGCCATATGCACGTGTGGTCTAAAAAGCGGCATTTTCATTACTACGGGAACCATCAGTCAAGAGATCTACGTCCAGAAGTGCCTGGAAAAGCGGCTGAAACTATTCCAAAAGCAACATAATAGACCTGTGGTACGATGCGAACAACATGGTTGTAGTACCCAAAGACCACAACCCTCCTAACAGCTCAGAACTCCGCCCGATCGAATGGTATTGGGCCTTTGTCAAACGGAATCTAAAAAAAACTAATAAATCCATGGAAAACGAGCGGCAGTTTAAATCTAACTAGCGTTCGGCGGCAAATAAGGTCGATGAGACTACTGTGCAAAATTTAAGGGAAGGGGTTAAGCGGAAGGCACGGCAGTTCGGATTTGGCAAACCAAAAGAATAACCGAACATTTTTTCCTTTAAATATATGAATTGAACCTACCAAAAGAAAAACAAGAATATTTTTTTGTGATATGAACTTTAGAAACGATTTTTTTGTCGACCAATTTTTGCGCGTTACAGTCTTTATATATGTGTAGTTCTTATGGGTACACATAAAATGCATACTATTCCTATTCATTTGACTCATAAATTTCATGTGCACTTCTGAGTAGATTCTGTTTATGTGTGGACCAGGGGTTGAAACAGTTGACGTTTTTTACTACACTCGCTTCGTTGTCGTGCGCGACAGTCTGTTTGTATTCGAACACTCATGCTCTACCGTCGTCTCTCTCACACAACACGAGCGGTAGAATAACATTCGAGCTAAAAGAAAATTATCAAAATAGCTATCATATGACATGTGTGAATTCGTTGTAATTCCTAAATTTGGTGTAAATCAAACCATTTCTGATCAGAAATATTATTACAAGGACATCATTGCTTGCTATTTTCAGAATTCACACAAGCACACCATCAGCAGCTCTTATTATGAGAAAAACTAAAATACATACATTCGTGACGGTCTTCGGCGACAGTGTCGTATGACAGAGCCTTTCATATGATATTTTAGTTTGGTACTGTACTATGATAGCTTGTTTTGCAAGGGTCGGAGGCAAAGGTAGTCAATTATCACAGAAAATGTGTCGACTACCGTGACCGCTTACAAGACTGGTGTGGACACAAGAAAATCATGTGGAATTTTACATGGAAATTCGCCATCCTGCTGCCACTACGCGCGGCCGATATTAGACTGGTACAGAGACAACAATGTTGATGTCAACCCACCGAAATCGCCGGAACTTCGTCCGATTGAGTAGTTTTGGGCCATCATGAAGAAACAGTGGGTAAAAGTATCAAAAGAAGACGGCCTTACTGTTGCCCAAAACCTCATGAGTGGTGTCAAGGGCAAGGTTAGGCCATTCGGTTATGAAGCGGAGATCAAATAAAGCAATGAAGTAGAAACCTAACCATAATGTTGTAGTTTTCCCTGAATGTTTGAATAAAATCCGCCATAAAATGATGTTTTGGCGACCATTTTTGTGAGGCTCACTTTTTTCGAGCACTGCCTTTAATTTAATTTGTTCTATGATTTCCCAGTAAATTTTTGGTAACCCATAATTATGATTTGTTATTAACTGCCATTAGGGTGGTTAGTACTGGACCCTTTTTAAGAGTACCGGTATTTTGGTACCGAGAGATTCAGTACCGGTATAATCGTTGAAATACAGGTACCAAGGGATTAAGAAAATAAATAAATATTGAACGAAACAAATATGAAAAACCGCAGCCGCCGACAGTAATGAGCAAAGGCATACGCACACTTTTTGCCTGTAAATTTGAAGACATACTTCAAAACTCTGCGTACATCGTACGGGTTAGGCAAAAGGTATACGCTTGATTTTGTACTGTCGCATTAATGGCCCTTAGCTCATTTTCAACTTCAAAAATTCAATTTTAATACTGTCGTACTCTAACGACACTATCTACCTACCCTCTTCTAAAGATCATTTTCTAGCAAATAAATTATCACACTAAAGCTTCATGTTAGATAGCATTTCCAACCAACTGTGAAAATCGAAAACTTCGCGTATGAAGTAACATAAAAACACTTTGAATGAAAAACCATTTATTCAAAGTACTATAGTTCGGCCTAGTGTAGTGTTTGACATCCATTCCTCGGTCACTACTTCAAATCTTTTTTTGCAAGACAAGTCACGAATAACCTACAAGTGTTAAAGCGACTATAATAATAAAAAAAATAATCCAATTTTTGTCGCAAAATTTCCAGGTACATACAAATGCTCTCTCTGAAGTATGGTGAACCCACCTTGAGTCAATATATCAAAATATTTTTTTATACTTATACAGACTTATGCGCTATCCAAACTAAGCAAATATAATATGAAACGAGTATTGAAATTTGCTTAATCATTTTTCAAATGATCAGTTCGAAAAACAACTGTATTTTCTCATAGTATTTCGGTATCAGAAAATCACCCGGTAGAATGGCAATATCGGTACCGGTATTACCGGTTCCACAGCCCTAACAGCCATTGACAATCTTTCGAAAAGCATGTATGAACAAAAAATACAAGTAAATAGTGCTCATACGGCCCCATCCTCCCCATTTTCACCATTTTGTGATAAGGAACAATAAGATCACAGAGCACCGCAAGTCTGCTCTCAGTTATACATTTCCCATCGGCATCTCCGCAACCATCGTAGGCTCTCCCCAGCACTAGAGCAGCTGCGTCGGCCTCAGCGTCTGCATAACACCTGAACGCCTACAAAACAGAGCGAGTTCTGCTTCATCCGACGACGATCCTCCGTCAGCCTAAGTTACTCGCGTAGTGCAAAGTGTCGTGTCTCGGCCGTCGCCACCGACCGGCTGGCAGTGTCTCGTGCATTTTACCTGTACGGCATCGTAATAAGCACGAGCCACGGGGTGATCGTCGCAATATCATAGAATAAAATCAGTACTACTCGGTTAGGATCGGTTCATTCCTTAGCGAGATCATAGGTAGTAGATACCAACGGTTTTCGCTTTCATCGTGTAACGCGCGTGCCAGATAGATCCTCTATAAAAAAAATAGTGTGTTTCGTTCGAAGTCGCGTGCGTGGCCAGCTCGAGTTCTAACGAGAGCTTGCTGTAGTTTCTTCCTACTTCCCGGTTAGTTTCGAGTGGATTTTGCAGCTGGATAGTAAACATTGAAGTGAATCTCGAAGATACTGGCAGGTGACCAAACAATTGGATACATTCATTTCGTGCCGAGCAGTTCAATAAATATTGTGACACACGAGAGTGTAGTTTTCAACCAATCGCCCTCCTTTGAGAGGTGCTTGCAAACGTGATTTTTTGCATTTAAAACAAGTAATTTAACCCGTCAGATGTAATAATAGCTGCTCTGGATACAAATTAGTTTACTGCCTTCGGTGATAAGTGATATCCTCGGCACTGGTGCAAGTTTAAGTGAAAACAACGTGACGCCATCTAGGCGGAAGATAATCCATTTCTCTAAATTGCCAAATTGCATCTGTGTAGTGAATCGAGTTTCTTTCAATAATTCATTACCCAAAGCAAAGCATCGGTCGTTAAAATGCGTTCCATGATTCATATCAGTGCCATCGTATGTGTGTTGTTTATTGCTGTTGAAATTTTCGTCACTGCGGAACCAGCTAATGACATAACGACTGAGGTCCCCAGAGCAACCACCCGAGCAAACCTAGCCAACGAAACCGAGTTCGTTGATACGACACTACTCATTAAGGAGTACCAGAGCGCAAACCCTGCGGACAATGATTCGGCCAGTTCGGATAGCGGTAACAGCACGGGCACGACGACGGATGAACCCAATATCAGCAGCACCAGCACCAGCCGTAACAGCGAGAGCACAACAGCCAGCGAGAACGTCACCGAATCGAGTGCAGCGGCGGATAACAAAACGATGACCCCGGAGGAGATCCAGCGGCTACTGCTACCGCCAGCCAAGGTCGAGGCCAGCATACTGCACCTCAACGCGTCGGATGAGGTGCACGAGAAGAATACCAAGTAAGTCATGTAAATTACTGCCCCTACCGGTATCCACCTATGCCTATGTATTGAATTTTGCGCGTGCCTTGATATTGCGCGCCGTGCGGGACTTGTCTCTGATCACATTTTCGCACATCCTTGCCGGTTGCGTAGGTGTAATCCTCCTTGACGGTTGCATTACGTCAGCTCCGAGTTGCACGTATCGTTTTTTTTTTCAGTTCAAACCTGGAAGAAAATTAATCGAGTTTGGGAAAAAATAATCGCTGTTTATAGTGTTACTGAGAATTAATAGGGTTTCAAGGAAAAACATGTTATATGGGGTAACTTTCAAATCTCGGTTTAATGCTTCTTTAATTGCTTTAAAATTCCATCATTAGGTTTTTGCTCCTTGGAGTTCATCAAAATATGACTAGATCAATGAACTTCGTCCAAGCAATATATCTCCAAAATCTTAAAAAAATCCAGCAGCATACTGCGTTTTTCATCATTTATTCCAGTGGTTTTCAACCATTTTTATTCCATGCCCCGCATTTCAAAAATGGCTCACCAGTGTTTCCCCTTAAACAAATTAGATAGCTAAATACAAGACAAATTAAACTAACACGTGTTACAATACACATTTATATGCACTGTCGTTGTAAAGAAGTTGATCCATTATCAAAGGTTTATATAGTATGTCTACGACGCGCTATTTGAAAACCCCTTATTACATTTGTAAATTAATAGTCAATGAGGATCCTGCGCCTTACCATTTTCAGCTAGCGTTTAAATCTTTGGAGCCGTGATTGCCAAAGCACATCGCATGTCACCTTCGCCGTCTAGTGTAGTTAACTTTTTCGTTTTCATTTGCAACATTGCAGAAAATTCAGCTCCACACATACAACTTGATTCGAATGGCAGCAGCATTCGCAATGCTGTTTCCACAATATTACCAAGCTGAGATGCAGGGTAGATTTTGATTAGCTGTCATGAGAAAGAAGATTGCTGAAGATTTTGAAGTCAAAAGGATGGAGTACGATGAGAGTAGATGGATTTATTACCAAGAAATGGCAGAAGGCTTTTCGTAGAATGATTGGCTAGCGTGAGATTTTTAGAGCAGCTCTATTGCCGATGATGCAACATTATTTATTCGTAATCGTAGAAGGGAATGGCTGGTCAACTATTTCTACTCAAAACTTAAATTAACATGTTTTATAATCTCAAGTGGAAAGCTTTTCCGTTTACTTTAACCAATATTTTTACGTGCATGACATAAGAGTGGTCCATACAGTTGATGAGAAACAATTGTTTTATTATTCAAGATTGACCGGCATAACGTTCGACACAGTTGTATAAAAAGGTTTTTAAAACAACTTAGCTGAAGAAGGTTATTTTCTACCTCTAATGGCTAACGATTTAAACTGATTTTTAATAAGGAACTTAGGGTGGCCCCTAAAGAATCGGGTTTTCAACAGTTATTTCGTATGCATAGATTTATCGTAAAATATATGTTCTATACTTTTTGGAATTTTTATGGCACATTTTTGTCGAAACGCCCTAGTTGCTAACTCCAGGGCTGTTAGAACAGGCTCGGATTTCGCAAATTTCGTGGATTTCGCGATTTTCGCAGATTTGAATTTTCAGTCGTGAAAATCGCGGAAACATTAAATGATGTCGCGAAAATCGCGAAGGGACTGATCTGCTATTGAGGAATTCATTGTAATCTTTCCGTGCCGGATTATTTTGCTGTCATCAATTTTGTTGTTCATTTAGCTCTCATTTTTTTACCGGTTCAAACCAAACACCCTGCAAATAATCGAGAAATGATCTCAATTCCATAAGTCACACCGGATTTACACGGAAAAAAAATCCCTGGGGTCTGTCCAACGTGAGACATTTTCATGTTTTTTTTTATTTCCAATATGAACATAGCATTTTTCGTTGCCATATCATAAACGAATCATTTATATGCGAGTCATTACCATGTATACCGGATATTCTAGGTTCTCCAAATCGTCCTGGAGTTCAGTTGATTTGTTCTACTATATCAACCAAGACTGCAATAATGTCTGTAGTATCGAAATATGTCCAAACAAATTCAAAGTGTCTATGTGGATCGTGCCCGACCTATTGCTACGTATACAAGATGTTAGGTTCTGAAATAATTCTGGAGATCATATTATTTTTCTACTAGATCACCCAAGACTAATTCAAAATCTGTAGTATCGAAATATGTCCAATCAAATTTGCAGTATCTATGTGGATCATGCCAACCTATTTCCGTGTATGCCAAACGTTCTAAGATTTACAAATCGATATTTCGATACTACATATATTATCCCAGTCTTTGTTGATCTAGTAAAACAAATCATCTGAACTGCAGGACGATTCGGAGAACCTACACACTTATCCAGTCAGTAATTTTTACCGAGTTTTTTAATTGCGGAACTGTTCGGTGAAATTTTAAAAATCTGTGAAAAATTCAAAGTGGAGGAAATGTGTTCCGAAAATTTACAGACTTACTTCTGTTAACCCCGTTTAATAATGAAAAACAAAATTTGTCGATTTTATCGAATCTTTACGAATAACGGTTCATTTGAATTTTAACCGAGTTTTTTCAGTAATTCAAAAACCCAGTACAAAAATACTGACTCCTGTAAAAAAATCTAAATGTGTAGATCATATACATGAGTGTTCACTCGGCTGTCGACAGAAGCAGACCCCTCTCAATGTGTGTCACGCGATCGTCTGTTTACTCGGCAGCAACCATTGTGTGATCCTCCTCATTGTTCTTCAGCAGGTTTTTCAGTCGATGCGTCGTCGACTTTGGAAAGCAACCGTTTCGTGATGACTGTGTGAGTGCTGACCTTGTTTTGCGTCCATTGCTGCAATGGAAGCGCTCTGACCCCGTTGACAAATCTACCATACAATAAAACCACTGAAAGCGGCTTCCGTTCTGGTGGAGGAAGCTTATTGGATAGCGGAAGATACAATGTTTATTGTGTTGTACCTTTTGACAATAGTTTTAAGATGTATTGTATAGTGAACAAGAATCCTCGGCTCTGTAAAGTTAATTCGGTTGAGCCTTATCAAATAAATTAATAAATAAATAAAAAGATACATGGAAACAAATCATACATTTTATCCATATAGACACTTTGAATCTGTTTGGACATATTTCGATACTACAGACTTTATTCCAGTCATGGTTCATCTAGTATAATAAATCATCTGAACTCCAGAATGATTTAGAGATCCTTAAACATCTGGTATACATAGCAATAGTTCATGCATAATCCACGTAGACACTGTGCATCTGTCTGGAAATATTCCGATACTAAAGACATTGTCCCAATCTCGGTTGATCTAGTAGATCAAATTATCTGAACTCCAGGACGATTTGAAGAACCTACAACATCTGGATTACTCGGAAATAGATCATGAAATGATCCACATAGACACTTTGAATCTGCTTGGACATTATTCGATACTGCAGACATTATTGCAGTCTTGGTTGATCTAGTAGAACAAATCAACTGATGTCCTGGACGATTTGGAAAACCTATAATTTCCAGTACATATAGTAATAAGTCGTGCATGATCCTAAAAGTCACATATGTTATGACTTGACAACGAAAAGGTTCATATTAGAAATAAAAAAATATCATGAAAATGTCTCACCATTGGACAGACCCCAAGGAACCGCGACGTGACCAACAAGCAGTGCTGAGTTGCATCACGGTACTGACATTCTTTAGATTGACAAAAGAGATTCCTACGGTTAACAATCAAAACAACTGAGAACTCTCTATCCGTAAAACTTCTCACCAGTATGACACAACAACCGTGAGATACCGTTATTTTGCTTTTCTCACTCATTCCCAATTTCACTAACATCTGTCATGTGGTACCATCATATCACCGAGGAAAAATAAAAAGACCTATAAAATGACCATCATCTCATTTCGAGCATAAATACGGTTAAGACGGTCATTCCTCTTCCAAAATCACGGATAAGGCGATAGTTGTGATGTATCAAGGAAAAAGTCTTACCAGAAATTATTATTGTGAGAATTCATATCTGCATAAACACGTACTACCTGTAGTCACGAATGCTTATTCATGGATAGAGATTTTGCAGCTATTTTTTTTCCGGATACCGTGACGCTTGAGCTCGAATAATAAGGATGCTGACCGCATATCGTATCCACATTACCGAAGCCCAAGTACCAAGGGATCAGTAAAAAATCCTTGCGTAAATAGGAATTCCTCTCTAAATATTGGAATTGTAGTTAAAAGTGTTATTGCTGAGTAATCAAACGACGGCGCCGGTGGTGTAGTGGTAAGCGTGATTACCTCTCACCCCAGCAGGTCTGGGTTCAATCCCAGTCGGCGCCGCAGGGATGTTCTGAGGCATAACATCTCTGATCACGCCTTCCTTCGGATGGGAAGTAAAGCCGTTGGTCCCCGGTTCATGAGTAGATGGGTCGATAGGTAGGGTCCAGGTGTGGGAGCTGCCTTCCTGGCACGTCGGTAGCATTGGTGCTCAGCACGGAAAACAAGATCGACGGAAAAAACAAACCAAAGGAAAAAAAAAAGTAATCAAACGTTGATCTGTTGAACAAGTCATTATATATTTTTAGGTTAAACACAATACAATATTTGCTTGGCTCACCACAGTTCAGGATTATTTCAGAAAAAGTAGACAAGTACCAAACACAAGCGTCATACAATAACGTTAGCAGTTTTTCGGAATTTTTCAACTCGCCCTCTCCCAATGTAAGACTTTGTAAAATCGTACCAATTGCTCCTCCACCCTTATTAACATCCTACAGCATTCTGCATTTGATTTCTTCATCCTTAAATAAAATATATCCCTCTCTAGTAAAGATATCGTTAGAAAATTGCAAGCACCCCATCCCTCTTTGATGCTTACACAATTCAAGACCAACAATTGAAAAAAGCCTCAACTCCATTTTGTAAACAAACCTTATAACCATTTTCTCGTGAAACGAAACCTACATTCACAAAGCTAAAAC